GCTCGTCTGTCACCGCTGATCGTAGCGCGAGAGGAACAGGGCGAGCCTTGCAAAACTTTGGCGGGGCTCCTTCCTCCAGCTCCAAGTGCACTGGAGGTCCCGTGTATCCAGCGATGTCGTCTTGGAATACCTTGGAATGTCGTTGTAGCACTGCCTCCACCTCCGGTGGCGTGGTCTGCTGCTGCATCTGATTGATTCCTTGAACTCGGATGTTGAGCGCGTCGAACCAATCTCTACCCAAAAGGCTGCAGCCGGCCCCTTTCATTACCAGAAGCGGCAGTAGGTAATCCTTGGACTTGAAGCGTACTCGAACTTGCAGCGATCCCAGAAGTTTCAGGCCTTCGCCACTCCAAGTGTAGAGCTCCAAGTCGTTCTTCGTGAGCTTTGGTGGGTTCTTGGGCCAGGTTGAGCGAAATGTGTCTTCGCTTATCAACGAACAAGCGGCTCCAGAATCGACCTCGAACTGAAGTGGTTTACCTTCAATCCGAAGGGAAACATAAAATTTCGGGAAGCACCTTCGCGTGGTCAGCTGGTTCAGCTCATGACATGTACATCTAGAAGAACACGCTGGCTGGTTCGCCACTTCAGTCGCTGCTTCAACGTTGTAGTTAGCTTTCTTGTAGCCTGTTTTACCTTGTTGTTTTTTCTTTGCAATGCATGCCTTTTCAATGTGTCCTTCCTTTTTGCAGTAGTGACACTCGGTAGTCTTGAATCGGCAGGCCTGTGGGTCGTGTTGACCTGTGCAACGATAACACGGACGTCCCTTGTATGAAGCGGACTTGTTGCATGCATCCGTTGTCTTGTTGACCTGGAGATCCTCCTTGTTTTTTATACTCTGTTGTTGTTTCGAGGCACTCTCAGCACGGACGGCGATGTCTAAGGCGCTTGCGAACGTTAAGTTCTTTTCTGCGAACAGACGTTGTTGCAGAAGTTCGTCACGGATGCCACAGACAAACCTGTCGCGCAGCATCACGTCCAGTGGCAGTTTAGTGTCCCATTGTGGAGTTGCCGGTTGTGCAGCCGTAGCCACTGCATCGGGTGCTGCTTGTGACGCCGGTTGCTGCGACGCCGGTTGCCGTGCCGTTGTCGATGCCACAAGCGTAGTTGCGGAAGCTAAGATGCCGACATTGCAGTCTCCAGCCAGCATTTTGAGTGCCGCAACGTAGCTGTTTATGGACTCGTCCGGTAGTTGGTCTCGCCTCTGGAAGTTGTACCGGCTATAGAGCTCCGAAGGTTTTGGATCGAAGTGCGCGCCGAGGATCGTCACGAGTTCTTCGAACTCGACATCCCCGGGTCCTCTGGGTGCTACCAACGCTCGTACGATGTCATATGTTTCTGGACCGCACAGCGTAAGTAGGACAGCTCGCTTCCTGTCCACGGCGCTGATGTTATTCGCCACGAAGTAGAATCCGAGGCGCTCAATCCAGGATGCCCATGACTTGCCTGAGAAGGCTTCCATTTTGCCTGACTTAGACATGGCTCGAGGTCTGAGGTTCCAGGCGTCGTAGGTCCTTGATTACTCGTCGCCAGTGTCGTGTCCGTGTGGTGATGACAACTACAGCCCGAATACTTATGAGTTTAATATGACCCAGAAGAGCCTCAGTGCCTAGCTTGCGCCATCGGTAGCTCGCAGTTCCAGAGTGCGCGCTCAGGGATCGCGCGCACAGGGCAATGCCGATCTTCGTCCTTTATGCGCGAGTGGCGCCGCGCTGGACATCACATCTAACAAATCCCACGTATTGGTGACACACTCGACCATCAAAGTCGACAAACGGAATCAAGTTAATTGCCTTCGAAAAAATTGGGTTGTGTGTGGGTTTATACAGCCTCGAACTTGGTCTGCCTCACAGAGGCGACGAGTCTCCCAGCTGTAGATGAGAAATTTAGCCAGTGCGGTACAGCCGCTAGCCTGGGGTCTTTAACGTGCATCACGCAGTAGTGATACACAACCGCACGCCGGTACGATGCTCATCCAGATCGTCACGCCAGATGGACTGTGCCTTTGGAATTTGTAGAACACTGGCAGCTATCCAGAGTGTCACAGATCCCATGCTGGCAAGCCTAAAATGGCAGAACAGTCTAGTCTACCTCGATAACGTTTTCGTATTTTGAGTGACCTCGACGAGCACTTGAGATGTCTTCAAGCCATGCTCCAGGCACGGAACTAACCCCCAAGCAGACTAAGTGTTGGTTCTCTCATGGCGAACTGAATTTCCTAGGTAATGTCGTGAGCAATGAAGATGTTCGGTCTGACCTTGAGAAGACTCGCGCCGTAGCAGTGTTTCCAACACCATCAGATGAAAAGTCAGTAGGGAGATTTTTCGGACTCTGTACTTAATACAGACGCTTTCGTTCGAGATTTCCCGAAAATTTCTTTGCTGCTGATCCCTATCCCAAAAGACGCCGTCAATTTGAAATCGAGGGAAGAACAAGAACAGGCATTTGACGAGCTGAAGGGAAGTATCCAGTCGCCTCCGATCATAAGCCACTTCAGTCAGTCAGCAGAAACAGAAGTGTACACAAAGGCAGCAACAGAGGACTTGATGCTGTACTGGTCCAACAGCAAACGAGAACCGAGCTAGTGATTGACTACCCTGGCCGCACGCTGTCGAACGTGCAGCGAAATTACTCGACGATTGAGAAGCTAAGTTTCGCCGTTATCTGGGCGATAGCAAAATACCGCCCGTACTTGTGCGGAAACTCGTTTAGAGTGGGCGGACCACCCCTCGTGTTTGTTGTCTCGCGAACATTGTATCCACCAGGACGTCTCTCTCGATGGAGCCTAAGGGTGCAGAAGTTAAACGTTACAGTAGTCGACACGTCAGGCAGCATGCACAGCGAAGACGACTCCCAGTCCAGAGGTTCCGTCGAATCAGCTCCCATCGGAACCAGAGATAACGAAGGCAAAAGATCTCAAGGAGCAGTGAACGTTAAGGACATAGCAAAATACCAGCGAAACGACCCTGTACTGCGCGCTCTAATCGAGCACTTGGAAGAATAAAAAATTGCAGTTCCCATTTACTTCTCAAGAACATTACCAATCTTCGCACTTCTTCAAGGTGCCGTCTACAAAAATAACTCTTGGAACAGCAACTCGATGTGGCACTTTGTGACACCCCCCCTCCCCCTCCCGGCATTTGAGAGGAGGTGTACCAAGCCTACCAGGACGCCCCAACGTCCGGACACCGCGGTTACAGTAGGACTCGGGCCCGTATTTGCGAGTACTACTGGCCTAAACTTGACAAGATAATTCGCCATAATGCAATATATTGTCTTAAGTGCCAGAGTTGCAAGAAACTACCAACAAATTCATCAGGACCTCAGAGCCCGATTGCGCCGCCTACTGCTCCGGTTTAGCAGATCGGAATAGGTCTAGTATAGGACTTTTCCCAGCGTCGGCCATGGGGAACCGCTGGATAATTGTCGCCTCAGGTTGCCTAACCCGGTACGCCGAGACAAAGGCCCTTCTCTTGAGCACTTCTGCAAAAGTCGCCAAATTTTTTTGTAGATTTCATTGTTCCCTGGCATGAAGCCCCGAGGTCTTGAATATTGACCTAGGGTCAGACTTCATGGCCCAGCTGACTCAGGAGAATATTCAGCCAAGATAGGCTAGCCATTGTTAAACCACTGCGTAACTTCCGCCGACTAACGGACTGACAAAACTGCTCGACAAGACCACCGCCGACAGGTTCTCAATGTACGTGAACGTGTTGCGCAAGTCGTGGGACGAAGTATTACCATATGCAACGTTCGCCTACAACACTGCGGTTCAACTACAAGGGTAGCATGATTTAAGAGAGTAGACGGCAGAAAGATAACGACGATGCCCGATTCGATACTAGCCCATAGCCTAGCAGACGACAGCACCGACGACGCCCTCTTGGTCACCAAGCGGGCAGAAGAGGTACGCCAGTTAGACCGTCCAGATGGCCTTCCCGACTCAGTTTCGCACTCTCGTGCTATACTCCGCGACAACTTTTCTTGGCAATGCAGTGGACGCTACAGGCCCGCGTCCCCTCTCCCATTTTGAGTGTGCGCGGGCTCTCCTCCTCTCCCCGGAAATGGGGAGAGGAGGAGAGCTTGCGTACACTCAAAATGGGGGAGGGGACGCGGGCCTGTACCTTCCACTGCATTGCCAAGAAAATTTGTCGCGGAGTATAGCAAGCTGTCACGCCGTCACCAAGTCGATTGCTGCTGCCGCCGCCGAAGCTCGCTGCTGATTTCTCGACGCTCGTTCATTCTCTAGTGTCTGGCGCAAGTTCGGCAGTTAAAACTTTATTTTCTCTTTTACGCTTGTCCAATCGGTTTTCATCCTCTACAATATGTCGGAAAAAAGACTAGTGTCAGTGGAAGGGGAAGCAAGTTTACAAAAAAACATTCCACAAGTCATTTAGCTCTCCAGCCAACGAGAGAAAATGAAGAAAGCGTATCTAGCTAAGTTATGCCTTGGTGGGTGGGGCCTATAGAGCAGGATTACGTTCACCTAAATTATGTTTGGCGGCTAAAATATAACGCTAAGTTTTTTTTCGTAGACATTTGTTTTTAATTAGACTTAAAGAAATTTTGTTGAATATTATTTTTCTGTCTTTCTTTAATGTAAAATGGTGTATAGGGCAAAATATCGCTGGATGACCTTTATAATGTCCTTCTTCTCAATTATTTGACCTTTTTATTCTCGTAAATCCCTCTCACATGTACAAGCTAATGTTAATAAAGGGGCAAGCTGGTTAACGTTACACGTGATTCTAACCGGACACCACTGACTACAACTGAGTGAAGCTCTTTGTCGTCCTCTTGTCTCCTTGCCCACTTAGTCGTATGTTGTCTCCAGTTAGAATCATGTGTCATATATACATTTCGACACTTTTTCTTGTCTCGCTGACTTCCCTTGGGAATCTGAGAGCTCACGCCAATTCTGTAGATATACCCCGCCATGATAACTTGTTCTGTGGAGCGCGTTAATTCAATTATGTGTTGCGTCTTTCTCATCACCTTCACAGGTACGAAGCGAATTATAACGTGACTTTTGGTCGATCGAGACGACATGCGTATTTTAACTACATGAAGTTGTACAATACATTTGGAAACAAAAGTAAGTTTTTCTTTCGGTGAATATTTTACACTATGTTTTCATGTTCATATTTGCAAAAACATTTTTGTTTTTGTCAGCATTTAGAGGATCGATGTATCTCTTGTTGTCAGACTTCTGGTCATGCGCTCTTTTTTACCATAGAAAGTCAGGTAAGCACTTTTTTCAAACTTTGGTCGAAATATAATCTAGGGTTGCTCGCGCGGCACGTAAATGCACGTGGGGGCTCTTGGGCGTTCACAATAATCGAGAATTTTAAACAATGTGAATAACACGTTAACCATTAGGGAAAACTCATCACATCAGCCTGTTTTCACGTAATACCTGCACGAGAAGCTCCACATCGAGCTTCAGTTTTCTGAATTCGATGGCACTTTGACTCGCGTGCAGCTAAATTACGACGGAAAGCAACAAAGCACGGTGTCGTAAGGGTTCATGACTAAGTGAAACGTCATGTTCATTGTGTGAAGCTGACAAGGACCTTTTCTGTTTTAAACGCATGTTAATGTTTAAGCCAGAAGCGTTTAAACCGTTGTTTGCTGTGATTTGTTCTCCACTATTCAGCCGGAAAGTGAACTCGAATGCCGTATTTTTTAGAGTCGTACATTCAGTGGTGTACCACTATAAATCCCCAAAATTAAATTTCCCAAGATCTCACAAGCTAATATCCCAGGAACGTACGACTAGGCAGTGGAACGACTTTGCAGAAATACGGAGGAAAAAATGTATATCAACCAAAAGTTACAAATAAATAAAAAACTTCGTTATCACTCTGCACGTATTTCTCGTGTTTCTAAGTATTTCTCGATTATAATTAAACAAAGTTTTTTGAACAGATTGAAGAACTTTATGTAAGAAATCATTAAATTAAAGCGCAAATTTATTTTCCTCGCTATCTTTTTTTTTTATTTGTTACATGAAACGTTGCACAACTCAAACTCGACATAACTCAACCCCTAGATTGCAGGAAGAAGTAACGGCACGAACACACAAAGTAGATGTGTTAAAGACTTTTTGTGTTCGGGCCATTATCGTTTCCTCCAATGTTGGGGTTGAGTTCGGTTTAGTAATCTTCACTCTCCACCAGCTCGTTCGTTCCTTTACTTTTTATTCATAATCTCTAACGTTGTATTTCACTTAAACAAAAAACTTCAATGTAGTGTTGCGTCAGATATATGATTTTCAATTGTAACTCCTGATTTAGGCAAAACAATTTTCTTTTATATTTATATAAACAAACACACCAACCAGAAGCACCTTGATCCTGAGTTACAGTGTCCGACCTTGCAAGACTGGTGTTTTAGGTTTTCAAAGTGACTGAAGTTTGTTTGGCACTTGTATTTCTTGTTTCGTTAAAGCTACTCTGGCCACCTTATGATTGTATGCGTACCTTTATCTGCGCCCACAATGTTAAAGTCCGCCTCACGAGTACTTGACAAATGGCGAAGGTTACATACGGCCCCGCAGAGCCAATCAGCGCGTCGAGCAAGAAACTGGACTCTGCTCGATCTGAGTACTTGCGCACGGTGTTGTACAAGCCACAGGCGTGAGAAAGAGAAATTTGTTTTGTTCGAATTTTGAGCGACTGGCTAATCTCCGAGGGAACAAACGCGACGTCTGCGACACACAAAAAACAGGGTCTGGGAAAGAGAGCGGTTCGTAGTCCCCCACCTCGTCGACTGATTGTGTTACGTTCCTTGCGCCTGTACAATTGGAAATGACTGTAACCTGCTTCGCCTCCATCTCTCTGATTGTCTCGAGGGGGACTTAGCGTTCACTTACTGCCAAGTTACGGTGATACGAAGTAATGTATGCGCGCTAAATGCTAACCATGCCCCTTATTTATTGTTTTCTCCTTCACTTTATCCCACAAAGCAAACAACCGAGATCGGTCGCCTTGGAACTTCTTCCTTCTTTCGCTCTTCGTTGTCTTCTCACTCTTTATGCCCCTTACATCAAATTGGACAGTTCTACTGTATGGCGGAAAATAACAGCATTTTGAGCGGAGTCTATAGTGGTCATACCTCTTTCCATTGCAGGTGACTGCGAGCTTTGGGAAGCAGCGAAGCCTCCAAAAGAAAGTCCACTGCCTTTTTCTTTTTGCTCAAGGTATATACGCGCATGTAACAACAAATCTCTAATCTGGTACTACAATTATACTGAGTGTTATTCCAAGTAATTCTTTCTTTGCGACCTCAGAGTCAAGATGACGTTAGTGAGCCCAGAGGGGTTTACTTGAGGGATTTAGATTAACAGTGAAGCTTCTGACAAGATTCCGTCTTATATCTACAATGAACCTCGCCACTTCCCAATCCGTAAATTCACGCATATATTGAAATACGTTTATTGCTCACCAAAGCTATATTAAAACTTGAGAAATTTTGCTACAAATAAAAGCGGCGGCTCATGCAGATCTATACAGCCGTCCCTCTGCCAGCCTACAAAAACGTACATATACTTATATAAAACTTTATAATCTGCATTCCTTGCAATGTCGCGCTTCGACATGCCAAGTGCTTCGGTACATATTGTATATAGGCTTACGTCACAGTTTCAATGATTTTCGAAACTGAGAGTGTTCGGTAACGTACGTCTATACTGTGTTGGAACAGTTAAAACCACCAGGATAACAAGGGCCCAGTGTTGTTTCTCCACGTCACATACCGCTGAACGAGCCTAGGGAACACTCTGGACAAGAAATTCTGCGTGTGCCTATTATTCGTGCTCTCGCTTATCAAAAACGAGAAGCAGTTGAAAACTGTCCCATCACTCGTGTCCAATCACTGCCCTTCGCTGCCCGAGGTGTAGTGGACATAAAACTCGGCATTTTATTACGTGCTCTTTGTTTTCCGTCTTCCTTTGGCTGCGCCAGTGACCAATTCGCAATGAAACAGAGGTAATCAAACGTAGGAACACGGAAGAAAAACCTGTTTACGGAAAATTGCTTTATCTTCGGTGTTAATCAAATTAATATTACAAAAAAAAGCTTATTTTTTTGGTGACAGATTAGGGAAACTTCATTGGTTGGAAAGTTGGAGAAATGGGGCTTGCCAATTGATTGTGGGTAAGGTTCATGGCTGCTGACGCCGAGCACGGGTACGTTTCGTCAACAAAGCCCCTTGCATCGTCCAACAAAGCCCCTTGCACCACTTGCATCGTGGACGACACTCGTCGTCCACGACGCCGTGCCCCGCGGCGCCGAGAAGAGCTAGACCAAACGGGTTTAGAGAAGAGAGCGGTTCAGCGTTTCCTACTACCAATTGCTTACGCTTCTGCTGAGCGGTACGAACGCGATAGATGTGAACGAAGCAACGATTTGGGATAGAGATAGGATGCTCCATGATATAACCTATCATGGAGCATCCTACCTCTATCCCAAATCGTTGCTTCGTTCACATCTATCGCGTTCGTACCGCTCAGCAGAAGCGGAAATAATTGGAAAAGAAACAAATTATAAGGTTCGCGAGCCAAATAAGCTATTATTTACGCCCAAATGCCGCACAAATGTCGTTGGAAAAATACCGCACTATTGCGCCCATCAAACTGGCTCGGCGCCATCTGCGGGACGGCTTCTGAGGGGCGAATTGACACTTGACGCTTGTTGTTTTCCCTGTAAGAAATAACTTCCTAACGTACTCGTTAAATTTATAAATGCTATCGAGAAACGAATTTGCATTACTATATTTAGATATCGTCAATCACGTTACGCTACTGGTTACTCGTTAAATATTGATTAGTACTTCTCTACCGTCGAGTGTAAGCATTATTCACATTATGTGAACTATGCAGAAGAGGGAACAATATTTGCGCTAGGTCATTTTATTATCCGTCAGTGAAGCGTTTTAATGCTCCAGCGTCTAATGCTTTGTCTCAAGCCAAGCTCTGAGGTTATTTGTTTAACGGAAATTGTAGGCAGCCCTAGTAAACATTTTTTTAGGGTACGCCTTCCTAACAAGATGGGCATCATCCTCCTCGAACATTACCGTCGCAGTACCGCAAATACTTAACAGTTTTCTAGAACAAACATCCCTTCCGATTGCGGCAATGTCTCGCCTCCTGGATATATTGAATGCTTCAGCTAAATCTGTTGATTAGCCTTTCCGCGTGAAGAATCAAAATCTGTATTTTGTAAATTGCGACACAAGCGAGAAAGCTTTCACTAGGTTAGGGCCAGCTTCAAATCGGGAGATGAAAAAAGTAAAAAACAAAAACAGAAATAGAATAAAGGGACAGATATAGAAATCCCGCTACAGATATAGAAGATACAGAGAGACTGATATAGATGAAAGAAACCGAGATAAAAGAAAAAGGTGGAGATAGAAACCAGCAGCATCTCTATCTCTGTGTCTTTCTTTTCCTTCTGTTTTTTTACGTTTTTTTTTTTTTTTGCCTCCCAAGTTGAAGCTGGCCTAGTAATGCACCAACTAGCTCAACTCAAGTCCGGAAAAAAAGCCTTCGCATTTTCACACCTCCCTAAAGCACTTCCCAAGGCTGTTCACTGCGTTGAAACCTCGACCAACACTGAAGGAGGTTTCGTTGAGAAACCTTACAACAAGGGTGGCTTCAGCCTCCTCGAAGATATCACTTTCGCCATACCATGAAGTCTATATGAGAGAACTCAGAGAAAAATCTCGAAGGCGAGTCGGTCAACGCGCTATCCGCTTTTATTCATCTTGCCTTTTTTATTAGGTTATTTGACCAGCTTCACTTTCATGACGAGTTGGCCAGAAGGTCGCAGAAACGTGACCACGACACTTTCTTCAAGTTTCTGGATTATCGTTCCCAGAAGTAATCTGAAAAAAAAAAAACCAACACACGAAGAAAATAACGATTAATGTTTATTTCTGTTTGCGTTTTGGTCACACTTCTTACATTTGCGACGGTGCGTGATTGTAACGGAATGCTCCTTTTAACTTCGCAACCTTCCCTCTTTGCACACACTAACGTATTGCCTATCGTGAGAACGGCGAGCATTCGGCCAGAATCTTCATGCGTCCGAATTCTCCGTCTACCGAAACAGTTTCAATAAAGAAAACTGTCAGTTTTTTTTTTTGTTTTTTTTTTTAGCTGGCCAGTTTGCTTGAGGCGTATTTCCTCCCCGTGAGCTGAGAGCTGGTTTGCTGTTTTTTAGCTTGATCTCACCACTACGCAC